GACCTATGGGATTCCCTTGTCCCCTATTGGGTTGAGCCTCATGAGTATTTTTGCCTTCTAATAAATTTGAAACATTACTTCAAATAAAGGGTCTACTACAAATTTACATATGATATTTTATTTTGTACCATTGATAGTTAATTGTAATTATAATTAACCAAAGATAACCTAAAATTCAATAGTGTAATTAAAATTATTTAGGGCCCGTTAAAATTATTTAGATACAATCTCGTTTTGGTTTTTAGTTTTTCAAATACATCAATTCAATTTTCTTTTTTTTTTTAAAAACCAAAATTTTATATAAATTTCAAAAACAAAATAAAGTAGTTTTTAAAAACAGGTTTATTTTCTTCCAATACTCACATTTTTTTTTCATATTTGTCTCTAAAAAATTTATTTCTCACTCTAAAATTTTTATTTCTAAATTTCTCTCTAGAAGCTTTATTTTTCTCTAAATTTTTCATATTTTTCATATTTATTATTATTCGTCTCTCCAATTGTTCATGTATTTTTGTTTTTTTTTCCTAATTTCATTTTTCTCTCTAAAAATTTAATATTTTTTTATAACTTTTTCTCCCAAAAATTTTATATTTTATAATTTTTCTTTTACTTCGTAATCTATTTTTCCACTGAAAATTATATTTTATTTTCTCGTTCAATTTGATTCACTGTAACTTTTATTTATCTTTGTATTTATTTATTTTCTCTAAAAATTATATTATCTCTAAATTTGTTTCCACTATAATTTTTCTCTTTCTTCATAATTTCTTTTCTCTTTTCTTTTAACATATATTTTCCTCTCTAATTTTTTTTTCCTATAATTTTTCTCTTTTTGCCTTTAGAAAACATAAATGATATATTTATCGTTAGGCTAAATATATATCTAATTTAGTCTACTAGTTTAAGTGTTATTAGTTTTAGTCTCTCGTTGTTGGTAGTTGTTAAAATTGACATATGATAGACCTATACCATATAACATAATATTTACACATAAGGAGAAAGGAATGTCATCTGAGAGAGAAAATTTAATAATCTCCTCAAAGTTAATTTCAACAAAATTGGTAGAGATTTCTAGTTTTTTTTTCCTTTCCTAAGTGAATTTTAATATACACTAACCATTAGAGAATAATTAAAGAAATTAAAGTATAAAGGACTAAATTAAAGACTTAAAAAAAGACTAAATTAAAAAATAGAAAACTCCTGAGGATTCGTCATTTATGTTTTTGGTTTTTGGTTGTATGTTTTAAAAAACAAAAACCATATAGGTTTGATAACCATTTTTTATTTTTTGTTTTTAAAAATTAGAAAATTAAAAATACATATTAGAGAGAGAAAATTCTATGTAGAGTATAGAGACGACAATGAGTGCGAGTGAGGATACTCTCCCTTATTCTCGTGTTCGCGAAAATTTTTAATCACCGTCTCCACCTCGTTCTTTGGTCCGAGAGATGTTCTTGATAAAAATTATCGATTTTATAATTGTTTTTAATTATTTTTAGAATTGAAAAATAAAAAAGTGTAATAAATAAATATTAATTATTTAAAAATGGAATCAGGGATAGGGTCGGGACATTCATTTCCTATTTTTTGGGCCTGAACTTAGAAATTTTTGTGATCCCTAATGTAGAGACATGAAAATACAAGTTTAGAGAGATATAAATACACTTTTGAAAGATAAATTTTAGAGAAATAAATAAAAAATTTAGAAAAAAATTAGTGAAAGAAAATTTAAAGACAAAAAGAGAAAAATTTTAGAGAAAAATGTAAACTCGAGAAGAAAATATATGTTAAAAAAATTAGAAAGAAGAGAAAAATTATAGTGTAAAAAAATTTAGAGATAAAAACAAGATTCAAAATATAATTTTTAGAGAAAATAAATAAAAGTTATAGTGAAAGAAAATTGAACGAGAAAATAAGATATAATTTTCCGAGGAAAAAATAGATTAAGTAGAGAAAGGAAAATTATAAAAGACAAAACTTTAGACAGAAAAAAGTTCGAAAAAATATTACATTTGTAAAGAGAGAAATGAAACTAATTTGTTAGAAAAAAATAAAAAATAAAAATACAATTTGGAGAGAGATAAATAATAATAAATATTTAAAATATGAAAATTTTGAAGAGAAAAATAAATTTTGTAAAGAAAAATGTAGAAAGAGAAAAAATTTTAGAGTGAAAAAGAAAATTTTCATAAATAAATACTACGAGGGAAAGTTGATTATTATAAGAAAAAAATCAGATTTTAAAAAATAGAAATTTATTTTTGAAAACAATTTTTTTTTTGAAAATTACATAGAATTTCAAAATAATTTTTGAAAAAAAATACAGAAAATTGAATTACGGACCCTAAGTTTAAATTATATAACTTAGGCTTTTTGTTATTACTTAGACTTAATATTGAATAAGTGAAGAATGATATTTGAGAAGATGCCTAAATTGGTTTTGTTTTTTGTTTTGTTATCTTTCGAAGACAGCCGCTGCAATGTTTGTCGTCAGCGTTTGACGGACACGCGCCCCAAAGAGGCGGTGGGTTTCTTTCAACTGTCGCTTTTTTTTTCACTTCTCGAAACCCTCTAAAGCTACTCACTGTCAGACCCCAAAACGACACCGTCCGGTTCACTCCCCCGAAACGACGTAGTTTCTTCCCTCCCTTTCTCTTTCTCTTTCTCTTTCTCTTTACCCACCGAAAAAATAAAAAAAAAAAGAAGAGAGAGAAAGAGAGGGAAAAAAAGGGGCAAAGACAGAGGAAAAAAGCTCTGTTTTTTCGCTTTAATCAATGACTGTGGCCTGTCTCTCCCTCGCCTCGCACACATGGCCTTCCTTCGACATTCTCAGGTTAATGGAATCGGAAGGAACTCAAGAGATTGAAAATTGAAAATCTCTTCATCAATTTCTCCAATATTCCCCCGCCATACCCATAACCCACATCCATTAATGCTCCCTTTGCTGATCCCCTTCCCCCATTTCTCTTCTTCTTCTCTCCCTTTTCCACTCATTCCTTCTCTAGGGTTTTGATTTTGAAAACTATACCCAATCCCCACCCTAATTACATCCTTAATTGTTCTCTTATTGGGTGCTGTAGGAAAAAGGGAGCACCCCCTTCTCTTCTTCTGTACCCTCTGGGTTGAAAATTCAAAGCTATTTGTTCTGTTTTTGGCTTTTCTTTTTCCCTTGTGCCGGCTTGGCTTGTTGGGTTTCTTTTCTTTTCTGGGTTTGTTGATTGGAGGGTTCGTCAGCGTGGTCATTTCTTGCCTTCCTTTTTTCTGGGGTTTTCATGTCGTTGATCATGGTGTAGAATGTGGGAGATCTGATTCTGTTTTTGCCGAATTCTGGGGGATCCATGTCTTGCTTTGCTTCCCCTTTACCGTGATCGAGTTGTCACTTCAATGGCGCCTTATTATTGACGTTTATTTTCATTTGCCTGCAAGTATTAGTTGTCTCTCATAATGCATTTCGCGAAGCTTGATGATTCTCCTATGTTCCGCAAGCAGGTCAGAGCTCTCTCATTCTTTCCGACTTTGTAATTAATGTTCTTCTTTTTCGATTTATCTTCCCTCTCGAACTCAATTTTGCTGGGTATTAATTGTTATCTGGTTTCTGAGACATACAAGGAAACTTTGTAACTCTATAAATGCTTTATCCCAAACGAAGCTTAAGAAGTTTAAGAAGGGTGTTATTATATTTCGGCGAATCCCTCTGAGAATCCTGGAAACCGTCTTTTTCTTTTAATGAACACTTTCCATATTTGTTTCTTCTTGGTCAAGCAGTCAATTTCATTGGGGAAAGTTCCTTTAATGAACGCATATGCCAGTTTTTGATAGATTGGTCGTCAATTAAATGGTCAGTTATAGGTTTTATGAGCGTATTTCAGAAAATATTTTATTCCCAAATTTGAAATTTTATTGTCCACGAACTCGGTTGCTAACTGTTCTTCTTAGAATGGAAAATTTACAGTCCTTGAGCCTATTCCCCAGGCTACATTATTTTTATTTAAATTTTTTTTTTATTATTTATTCAGAAACAGAAAAATACTATAATCCCTGAGGACTTCCTAATGAAAATATATTTAACGCTCAAAAATAAAAAAGGATGGCAGTAATTTTGGCTAGCTCGTTCACAAATGAGTAGTGCCCTGCTTTCTCCTTGTTAATTAATCCCATATGACTTGTTTTCTTATGATACAGAGAACTTTTTCACTAATGTGGAGAAGAGTGTAAAGCTATATTAGCACTCCTAGGAGCTAGCAAGAAAAGTACTCCAATTTGAGTTGATTATAAAATGAGTATGAATAAAACAATTATTCTAAGGAACGCCAATTGGATGGTTTAAACCTTACCTTCTGAACAATATCTTCCGACTCCCACATGATATATATGTCTTGTCTTCCAAATGTTCTTGGAACAGAATTATGAATATGGGAAGAGATTTGAGTGGATCCTGGTAATCAGGTAAAACTTCAAAAATATCTCAAAATCATGTAAAGTAGCAGCCCGCCCCCCACACCCCCTGTGAAAAGGAAAAAAACAGAACAGTTATGGAGTAAAATGGATAAAAGAGCGCCATAAATTTAGAACCTTTAAGTTTCATAAGCATAACTTGGTAAATGATTTAATTGTAGTTGGAAAAAAGATGGAGATGTAATTGTAACTTCTACTTTTCTTTTCCTTACTGCAGTTATACATCTTGAGATTGTTTTTATCTGCAAATATGCAGGTTTGGCTAGGTTTCTCTTACATTATTGCTGACGATGAGTGTCCTATTTTGGCACCAACGAATGAAAAATTTGCATGCTTGTACCAGTTGGAATAATTTGCATTTGAAAGATGTTGAATTGTAGGTGCTATTTTTGTTGTTAATGACATTTGTGATACAGATACAATGCTTGGAGGAAAGTGCTGAACTATTGAGAGAGAGGAGTTTGAAGTTTTTTAAAGGATGTAGAAAATACACGTACGTCTATTTTAGCATTTATTGTCCTTTATTTTTCTGGTTGTTTCAAAATTAGGGTTCCTTCATGAAGAGTACCTCTATCAATCCAGTTGTGCTTCTAAATGAAATCAGAATTTTCTTTATAGGAGGACTTCATTCCAAGTTGGAGAATAAGTACTGTTTAAGTTTGCTTTTGGAAAATTATGCGTTAATGTTCACTGTTAGGTGATTTTTAATTTGTCCATGTACACTGCTAAGAATTATGGAATTTTAAATATGATCTTTGTTTACTTGACCTTTTTGCTGTTTGATGGGTGCTCATAAGCATTCTCCATGACAACCTTCTTCTAAGTTATATATAATCTCAATTCGTGTAATAATAGGGGATATGATGGTAGCATTTGTTTCTTCATTGCTCACTATTTTCCTAAGTTATGAAGTAGAATGCTCTTTCATGGTTTGTTTGATGTTTCGTGTGCAGACTACTTGAGTTTATGATTGAGGGTACACTTCTGACATTAATTTTCTTCCTTTACTCTCTTACATGAAGTTTTGAAAATTTCATTGCTTAACCATAGGACTCACACAAGGATTTTCTTTGCTATTCAGTGCAGTTGATTTGGTCAACTTTACTCTTGCCATCAAGATTCTGCAAAAGTTTTTGATTTCACTTTCTTTTTATATTTTGCAGTGAAGGACTTGGTGAGGGATATGATGGTGATATCGCTTTTGCAAGTTCCCTGGAAACTTTTGGGGGAGGGCACAATGACCCAATCAGTGTTGCTTTTGGAGGTATGCTTGTTTATTTTGAATTTTATTTGGTTATGTTACACGTGTGGATTGTGCACAGGCATTTGTTTTTTGAGATACAATTGTGCACAAGCTTGAGACATTCAACACCACATAATTTTGTGTCAACTGAAGTTAAGCATGAACCCTATTCTGAAAATAACCTTGAGCATAGTTACTTGCATTTAAGGTTGTTCAGTGCAATTTTGTTGTTTGCTTTGTTGATCTGCAGTCATACTGATTTCTATTTATTTGCAACATCTCTTGCTCTGTCTCATTTCTTTTTTGAAATGATGATTGCATCTATGTTTTCTATTACAGATTAGCCTCTTATATAAGTTGAATTTAATCTGAAAGTTGAGCATAGGGTTCAATCTTGCTTGGTCAATTAACTTGTAGATGATATTTCAGGACCTGTCATGACCAAATTTACAATTGCGCTGAGGGAAATTGGGACATACAAGGAAGTCCTTCGTTCCCAGGTATAGTTTGTCCCCTGTATAAATGTGCCTTGAATGTGGTGTAGTCTTCCATTATCCCTTTTTACTCACTGTTCAGGATTGTAGCTTTATCCATTTTTCTTTTCTGCTATTATAGATTTGTCTTGGAAAAGCTGGATAAAATTCATATTTTGCTCATTGATCACTGATCCATTCATGATTAATTTGTCCTTCATATGCTATTCTTCTCTGTATGTTCAAATTCTTTAGGTAGAGGAAACTTCAAAAAAGTTTTTGGATGTTGAGTATTTCGTTAGAATACATTTCATATTTTTCTTCTCTTTCTACTGTCAGGTGGAGCATATGCTTAATGACAGATTACTGCAGTTCGTCAATATTGACTTGCTTGAAGTCAAGGTACTACAAATTACAAATTGCTTAGTTTTATTCTTTCTCGGTAGGTAAATTGTTTAGTTAAATATAGATTTTCTTTTATGGGTTGGACCAGGTAGTTAAAGGGACAAGCTTGAAATCCATGTGTAATTTAGATTCAGGCCATGAGTTCAACTATCTCCAAGATATTACATCCTATGAGTTTTATCACTAAAATATTACAAGGTTAGGGGTTGTCTTGTGAGATCACATATCAGTTAAGAATACGATGCACATAAATTGGCATGGACCCTCATGATTATAAAAAGAAAAAAATTAAATTGGGTTTTGCCTGTATTTTGCGCAACTAAATAGGTATGATTTTAGTTGGGACTGTTGGGTTAGGAACAGTGGAATTACGATGTAATTTAACTACTCAGAGAGTTTTCTGGAGTCAAATTTCTTATTCTTGGCACATTGCTTTTTTCCCACTGCATATAATGTACCCTTAGGCTCATGCATGTAGTCACATGGATCGCAATCCTAATTGACATGACATATTTCAGATTTTTACTGGTTATGGTAGATGATGCCAGTTTTATATTGTAATAACACGGCAGTTTTGGTTTCTGGCTTCTGCATATTAACTTTCTTTACTGATTTTCTGGCAGAAGAGCTCTTAGCTGACTAGTTGGACCCTCTTTTTATCCTTTTCTCCCTTTGGATGAGAAATTAGAAATAAGGAATGATGCGAAGGAGGTATCCTCACATAAAGTTGTCACCAAGCTTTTGCTGTATATGTAAGAAAAGTATGGAGAATCTTGGTCTTCTCTTCCTTCATCGTTCCTAAGCCTGAACTCTCTGGGCCATGGTTTTCTCTTTTTGGAAGATTTCAATTTAGCTTTATGCTTCCCTCAAAAAGCCTTGGCAGCTTAAGAGCAACTTCTGGCCATCCTTTTAAAGACAAGGAAGAGTTCTTGGGAAGGGTGCTGTTAGAGGAATTTCATAGGAGGTGTGGAAAGAAACTATTGAACCTTTAAAGAGACTTCGAGAGACTATTATCATGGATTCTCAACAATGCAATGCCATGGCATTATCCAAAGGAAAAAAAAGTTTTCCTGTGGAGCTCTTTTTAGGTAGCATCAAACTCAAGATAGTTCTGGGAATCCAATGTGGAAACTCTATGCTACCTTTTATTTCTTTGCTTGGCAGTTCTGGAAATATTTTATCAAATGATATAGAGGGCCTCCCCATGATCAAGGATGGCCGTCAATTTGGAAGGGAAGCTAAAATATCTGCTTACTTACATTAGGGCTTCTATTTTGTCTTCATGGCTTGAGAGGAATACCAGAGTCTTCTTTGATAAAGAAAAGTCATCTTATATGTTTTTGGTGAATCACTTCTTGTTGTAGCAGCCTCTTGGCCTAATCAATATAGGCCCTTCTTTTAATGCCTTCTTGTAATTATGCTATTTCTTCTAATTGGAAGATATTTTTGTAATATACTTTGCATGGGTTCTCCTTTTGTACATTTCATTTTGTAGATTGAACCGTTTCTTATAAAAACAAGACTCCTTTTGGATACTATAAGTTTCAAAGTTTCGAATTGATTTCTTTCCAGAATGAAGTTTGTTTCCTATAAAAGACTGTATATATGTATATTTATCTATATATAAGGAACCAAATATGTCTAGCTTGTCAAATTCGTTGTTGAGTCCCTCTTTTAAGGGATCTATTGTTAGTGCAGGAAGCAAGGAAGCGCTTTGACAAGGCTAGCCTTCTGTATGATCAGGTGCGTGATTATTGAAACTTTTGTATGGAATATATAGTTGCAGTACCATGCTGTTTCATTTTTTTTGTTGGATTTATCTCTCCTCAAGTTGGGTTTGGAATGGATTAAAAATGATCAGTATATCATCATAACAATATTAACTGTAGGGTTATTTATTATTATTATATATATTTTTTTTATGAAAAAGCCAAATTTTCAATAAATGAAAGAATACAAAAGGACGTACAAAAGACCAGTCCAACAAAAGGAGCCAAACTAAAAGAACGGACTCCAATCAAGCAAGATCAAGCTTAAAGAGTAAAAGCTTTGGACCGAGGCCAAAAGGGAGACGTGAAACTGAATGATGTCCCACACCTCCCTCAATCTCTCTATCCTGTTGTTACTTGTTACTTTCAAACAATAGGGTTATTCATGTATTTGATAGGAACTAGTACTTGCAATAGAAATTAATAAAAAATTATATCAAAATAGGAAAGAAAAATTACAATATCAAGCTTAATGAGTAGAATTAAAAAGTTCTCTTATCCAAAAAAATTACAATAGCCCCTCCAACCCCAAGCACCTTGAGAAGCGTAGAATTTCACAAGTAACCACTCTCCAAATTATGCATATCCCCGAACCCTATAACTCACCCTGTTTATAACTACTTTTCACTAACCAAATCCTACTAATGACAAATATATCCTTTTAGAATTTGCTTAGTAATATTCCTAATGGCATTTAATGTTTAACATGATTTATCGGAATTCCTTGGAGCTAACTTTTTTGCTTGTAACCGGAGCTTGCGAAATAATAAGATCGTATAATAATAAACAAAGTGAACTTTCAAACAGGTTTGTGTTTGGGAAGACCTGAAAGTGAAGAGATAGGTTGTAAAACGACTCTTGGGCTGTTGTTATTGACTATATGGACTATGGTGCTGCTGCGGATGGTTCTTTGTTGACTTTTAAATGCCCTTTTACAGTTCTATGTGAATGAAGTAACTGAAACAGCTTGATTTTATTAGTTTCAGTTGGTCTAAAGATATTTTAGTATGTTCCAATATTTAAGTATGCATGTCCTGTTTGATATTTGTTACTTAGTCTTATTATTTTTTTTTTAAATGATGTTACAGGCTCGTGAGAAATTCCTGTCACTGAGAAAAGGGACTAAAAATGATGTCGCTAGTCTTTTGGAAGAGGTATTATGCTAAATAAAAAAGTTTTTGAGAGTTCTCATCTTTACCTTTTTAGCATTGAATTTGCTCATCAGATTTAATTTGGTCTGACACATTCCAGGAACTTCATAATGCAAGATCTGCATTTGAGCAGGCACGCTTTAATCTAGTAAGTTCTGCACTCTTTTTTCAATTATCAATATATGATTCAAATAATATTGTAGAATAATTTAATTCATAGCATTTTGTTCTTTATATCCCTTTTTTGTAGGTAACTGCTCTTTCTAATGTTGAGGCCAAAAAAAGGTTTGAATTTTTAGAGGCGGTGAGTGGAACAATGGATGCACACCTTCGTTACTTCAAACAGGTAAGTTCTTGACAATTATCTTTGTATATTTGTTAACTATATCACCATATTCCTACTCATCTTTTTACCTCTTCCCTGCAGGGGTATGAGTTGTTGCATCAGATGGAGCCATATATTAATCAGGTTATAATATATTTTCATTTGGGCTAAACTGAATATATTCTTTAATGAGTGTCGGTTATTATTGTCATCTCCCAGTTTTAGAATTTCAATTGCTTAAAGGCAGAGCAATAAAACAGGAGAATTCTTTGATGAATATTTAATATAATTAGCTTCAGCTGTAGGAATTAGGATCTTGTTCTGTCATTGTAATATTTCTATTTAGTTAGCTAGAATGCTGGTGGGAAACTATTGTGATGCTGCTGCTTAGGCGGATAAATTTTGCAGTTGGACAGCTGGACAGTTTTTCATGCATTAATTTTATTTTTGTATTAACCACCACCGAGAGAAGCATGAAAGAACAGTATCCAAGTTCCAAAGTAAAACGCTCTGAATCAAAATCCTTATAACTGCCAAGGAAATGGCTGAACAATGTGTCATGTGGTATACTTCAGCAAAGACTTGATGCGCCTAAACCATTTTCAATTTGCTGATGACATTCTCTTTGGAAAATCTGTCAACTACAATTGATGTGTTTGAGAAGGCTTTGGCTTTGAAAATTAATCTCCTCAAATCAGTAGTGGCTGGGATCAATTGTGATGAGGCAAGAACCTTGGATGTAGCTTATATTTTCTGCGGTGGCGTTGGTTCTTGGTTACCTACCTGCACGATTGGCTGACTAAAAAACTGAAAGGTAATGAAAAGGGAAGCTCATGGCCAGACAATGGAAAAAATAATAGCCTTCTTTCTCAACTTCTTGAAGTTAGAAGAAGAAAGTAGCCAGAAAGTTCTGTTTTGGGAAGATATTTATGGTGTGGAGCGCACAGTTAGCTGACTAAAAAGTCAGGAAATGCAAAAATTAGTGCCTTTTTTCTCAACTTCTTGAAGTTTTAAGTAGAAAATGGTAAAGAATGTTTGGTTCTTGGAAGATATTTGGCTAGATTCTTCATCTTCTCCATCTTTAGTTTTTACAGATGTACGCAACATCTCTTCTAAAAAGGGACTACAGTTAGCAATTGTTGGAGTGAGGAGTGATAGAAGTGGGATTTGGAGATCAGAAGAAATCTTTTTGACCTAGAAATAGGGAGTTGGGCAACTCTCATGGATAAATTCTGGTTCAAACAATATCATGTGATGTGGTGCTAGATAAAACTGGTTTATTCTCGAATAAATCTACATTTTTGAAGCTTACTGCGATTGCTCCTAAGTTGAAGGTTCCCATCTTGAATAATGGTTGGAAGTTTCTTGGATAAAAGTGTTTCTTATGGTTCTTTGTGTATAGAAGCCTCAACGGTAGACTTCAAAAGTTTCCTAATTGGGTTCTTTAGTATGTGCCTCCTAGATGGAGCTGATGGTGATAATTACTATTGGGGACATCATTTCTCATGGTTTTCTTCGCAAATCGTAACGGCGATCAGGCTAAATAATTGAAAATCCTAGATTTGTCATTGTTATACTCCTTGCAAAAATAATGAAAAAACATTGGTGATGAAGAAAAATAATTGGTGTCAGCGAGCTTGTGAATCTTCATTCTTCAATTAGCTATGAATAAGTTCTTGACATCATTTTGTTGGGGCTCACATGGTTTCCCATGATTGTTTTAAGTTGGAATGTCAGAGGCTCGAGAGTTCAGGAGATAAGAGCTTTAGTCAATTCTATGATTCTTAAAATTACCCCCTTCTTAGTCCTTTACCAAGAAACAAAGATATCAGTTCAGCTTTAATGGACTATAATTGGTTCTTCTTGAGGGATCCTTGTTCTTGAGAAAGACTCACTCTTCTCTTGGCCCATGAAGTCTTTGAGGATCCTTTCTTTTCGATCCTCTTTATTGCCTTCTGATATTTATGATTATTTTCAAGCTTCTGAGGGATCCTTGTTCTCAAGAAAGACTCACTCTTCTATTTGCGCATGAAGTCCTTGAGGGTCCTTTCTCTTTGACCATTAAGTTCTCTATTGTTGATTCTGCTTAATGGCTTTCTGGTATTTATGATTATCTCAGGCTTCTTTTGTATTCTAGAGAGAATTTGGAGACCTTTAGGGCATTTGCTGTAGCTGGATTCTTAGAGGACACTTCAATATTAGTTGGAGTTGGTAGAAATATACCTCTAAATCCCCACCAGAAGCATGAAGCTCTTTAACTAGGATATTAGCAATCTTGCCCTTAAGGATATCCCTACTTGGTGTCCAACATGAGAGATTTGTGTTTTGCCCCCCTTTCTGTTAGGTTTCTAGTCTGCCATGATTGGATTCTAAAGTTCTCATATTTTAGAGCTAAACACCTTGAAAAACCTTCCTCTGGTCACTTCCTAACCTTTTTGAAGCTAGTGCATCTAATAGGGTCCTATCCTCTTTAAATTTCGAAAATATGTGGCAATGACACCTTAATGATTTCTATGTTGGTGAAACTCCACGAGAATTCAGTATTACTTTCCCCAACAAAATATAAAATCCTTGCCAATCTTAAGTTCAAGATGACCAATAAAACTCTACTTTGGTGCTATTCAAAGGGCTTCTCTTTGTAACTTTTCACCAAATGACTGAAATATTTCTTGTTTCAAAATCTACTGTTTATTTACAAATTTTTTAGTAGTCAGTGTTGCCTTTTGTTTTTGGTATTTGATATTATTCTTCATGACAATGATTTTCATTCCTGCACCAAGATAGTCTACCCATGTTCGTGTTCAAATTCCAACAATTTTTTTTTTAAAAAAGAAACCACGCTAAACATGTTCATCTGTTGACCTGGTTTTTCACTCCTTGAGAATAGGTAGTTTCTCGTTTTCCCACTGATTACTCTAATCTATTTTAGAATGGAGGGTTAAGATATTTCCTCGTTTCTGACCAACACTTAATTGTGGGAGACTTGACCTGGATTAATAAGTCAGTATCACATGACTCTGATCGATTCTGTAGATTTATGTAATTATTGGTGTCAAAATCATTGATGCACTTTTGTTTTGCAGGTGTTGACTTATGCCCAGCAATCAAGAGAAAGGTCTAACTATGAGCAGGCTGCTCTTAATGAACGTATGCAAGAGTACAAGAGGCAGGTTGATCGGGAGAGTAGGTGGTCATCCAACGGTTCCAATGGATCTCCTAATGGAGATGGTATTCAAGCCATTGGCAGAAGTTCACATAAAATGATAGAGGAAGTCATGCAATCTGCTGCAAAAGGAAAGGTCAGGAAATATTGCATTATAATATTACCGATCTCCCAAGGTGCATAGGCGGTACCTTTCTCCTTGCACCTACACATATCTATATCTTTTTTGCATGACTATATCTTTATATTCAACCATAACTTAGGTTCAAACCATTCGACAAGGTTATCTCTCAAAGCGTTCTTCAAACTTGAGGGGTGACTGGAAAAGAAGATTTTTTGTTCTTGATAGTCGGGGATTGCTGTATTATTATCGCAAACAGTGCAGCAAATCATCTGTAAGTAATTGAATCATGTTACTTTGTGTAGAGCAGATAGTTCTTTTTTTTCCCTCTCTGTTACGCAGTAGTCTTTGGTTCGTGTGTATGATGGGTGCCTTTTAGGTGTCTGGAGGCCAACTGTCTGGTCAGAGGAATAGTTCAGAGCTTGGTTCTGGCCTGTTGAGCCGCTGGCTTTCTAACCATTATCATGGTGGGGTGCATGATGAGAAGTCTGTTGCTCATCATACAGTGAACCTACTCACTTCAACAATCAAAGTTGATGCAGACCAATCCGACCTTAGGTTTTGCTTTCGCATCATTTCACCAACTAAGAGTTACACTTTGCAGGTTCGGTTTATGGGCTAGTTTGGGCTGAAAAGTTATGCTTCACTTGGTTTTCTTTAATGAGAGAAGATTATATAATTTTAAGGTTCCCTATAAATCTATTTCTGCATGTCAGTGCAGGCAGAGAGTGCGCTAGATCAAATGGATTGGATTGAAAAAATAACTGGAGTTATTGCTTCATTACTAAGTTCTCAGGCTCCAGAGAGGGTATTTATTTTGCCTTTCTTCTCACTTGATTCTGGATATTTTCAAATATTGATGTTAATGGTTATTTGTATTATTGTTTATCAGTGTCTTGGGGGTAGTCCCATCGGAAGTGGTCATCACCGGTCTACCAGTGAAAGTAGTTCTTTTGAAAGTTCCGACTTTGATCAGACAGCAGCTGACGAATATACATCTGAAAGAAACCTTAGTTCTTCTCATATGGAACGCCCTTTGAGAAATTTGCAACAGCAACGATCAGCTATGAAAATTGAGAAGCCAATAGATGTACTTCGTAGAGTATGCGGGAATGATAAATGTGCGGATTGTGGTGCTCCTGAACCCGACTGGGCATCTTTGAATCTTGGTGTTCTTGTTTGTATCGAATGTTCTGGTGTTCACCGCAATCTTGGAGTTCACATATCAAAGGTTAATATCTTGAACTTGTTTTTCATGGATTTTATCCCGCAGTGGATTATTCATCTGATGCTCCTGTCCAGCTAAGGAAGCATGATGCTATTTCGAAGGGGCTATATATGTGTGTCATATATATGAAATTATCTTGCTATGATTCATTTAATATGTTCAGAGTGGCATGGCAACTGTATCTTTTGACTTAGGGTAATCGAAGCCCCTGAGTGATAAATTTTTATGGCATTAAGTTATCAATGTGAAATCTAGAAGTAAAAAGCTCTTCATTTTGTGGTGCTCTTGGTTTTTTAATAAGAAGACATCCCTTTTATGGTAAGAATTATTGCTTCCTGGTATGCTGATTGATTTTTCTGCAACTATGTAGGTGAGATCCCTTACATTGGATGTCAAAGTGTGGGAGCCTTCAGTTATCAATTTATTTCAATCTCTTGGAAATACATTTGCGAACTCGGTTTGGGAGGAGATGCTGCAATCCAGAAGCGCCTTTCAGGTTGATCTTGTTTCGACAGGGTAAATGAACTTCACTATTAATTCAAAGTTTGTCAAGATAATCTGCAATATCTAGCTTCATTTTATTTAGTTTTGCTAACATTTACCTGTTATTTTTGTGGTGAAGAATGTACAAGTCTGATAAACAGCAGATGCTTTTCATCAGCAAACCTAGTCATTCTGATCCAATATCAGTGAAGGAGAAGTTCATTCAT